TGCTTTGCTCACCTTCGCTTCCCGGTTTAAATGAAAAGTTGGATTCTCCAGGCGAATATTGTAACATGCGCTATTCGGGACGTCGGTTTGTGAAATGGAATGTGCCGATAATGCCCTTTTACGCAGATGTTGTTCATCCTGGAAAAAAAATCATGCCTAATTGTCATTTCAGAGCAGCTCTGCTAATTCGTAGCCGTAAAAATCTCCCTACTTGAAGAGTTGGATAGTGTGCTTGCCGATAACTGCTACGGTACGAAGTCGATCGATAACCAATGTTTTCGTATCTAAAAATGGCAAAGTTGAGCCAAATGTGAGTTAGGCACCGCTATTCGGAGAGAAAACATTTTGAATCAAAGGAGCCTTGACATTTCTATGAAACCTCTGAAAAGGTTTCAAAGATATTCAACATGACGACCGCTCAACTTTAACGATTATCATATTCATGTTTGTATAAGACTTAAAGTCACTGGGCACAAAGAATCGACTCCTCATTTCCTCACACAAAAATATTGGGAATGGGCGCATATTATCACCTCTAATGTTTTGTGCAAAAAAATTTGGATTCCAAAGACAACTTGAAAGATCACATGTTGCGAACAGATGCTGAACATATGGTAGAAGCAAGGTCTGTTGGAAAGTACGTATGAAAGTGAGGAGCACATGTGAAATGATGGGCTGGTGAGAAGAAAATCGTGATTTAGTTTGAAGCTCTAGTGTGTTGCATGCGAAAGGCCAAGCTAACAAGGTACAGTGGTTTTTATGACGACCAGCAGAAGAAAATTCAAAGCTCTAAAGTATTTGGTGCAGCTTCACAGTGACGCTCCACCTATTTTGTAGTTTTCGAAGTGTATCAAATCAGAAATAATCAGAAACCACGACCCCCTCGAATTTAACGGAATCGTCCACGGAAATGTCACGATCTACCATCTCCAAAAATCGTAGCTTGAAAGTTATCCACCAGGAGAGGAGCGAAAAGAGTGAAAACATAGTTTTGTTTCGGTAAAGAATGAGACAGATTAAGAAATGTATTAATCCTTTGAATTCCCGCCGCACATCTGTCAC